AGTTTGTAAGCAGAAGAACAATTTGAAGTTCATACTTAATATTCCAGTATCTAACAGTTAGTGAATTGCAGATGTTAATGTAAAATTTCATATAGGATTTTGTCTTAAGAGGAAAGGCTTTCATGTATATATAATTATTGTTTTTCTATTTTGTCAGATTCCATCTGTAAATGGTGAGTCAAGTATATTCAATGCTGGTGAAGAATCAAACCGAGATGTTGAACCTGTTGCACGGGAAATGAAAGGCCGGGAAGCCATAAACATAGTGGATCTTTATAAGACATTCCATGCATGCAGGAGGCCTGAAGTCAAAGCTGTTAATGGTGGGTTGAACAAAGCTGCTGCATAGCGTAAGTTCAATAACAGAAACCAGAAGGTTTCTTTAAAATATTGTAGCTCTTGAATTCTGAGCTTTTGTGCTAAGTTCAATAACAGAAACCACAAGGTTTCTTTAAAATACTGTAGCTCTTGAATTCTGAGCTTTTGTGTTCAAATCATGCTCACAATAATCTTCTTTATGTGTGCTCATATTTTTGAATGACTGGGTCTAGATTCCCAGTCATCTGATTTGAGTAATTGCTGTTGTGACCTGCATGATACAGACAATATTTAACTTGTAATTAAAACATTTCAGGTATCAACTTAACAATTTATGAAGGTCAGATTACAGCAATACTTGGCCACAATGGGGCAGGAAAGACTACACTTTTCAACATTCTAACAGGACTTACAGCACCATCTGCAGGAACAGCCTTTGTATTTGGGTATGATATTAGGTAAGTAATTACATGTCCTTAAAACATCTGTGAAGGTAAGAAGGATTCTAAATTGCAGATATGCAAAGTAGGTAATTTTTAATTCCATATAAAATCACAAGACCAAATCCTTACGGTCATTGATATTAGCCCTGTATTGAGCTTGTTAGGTATGTGGTTTGAACCCAGCAGAACAACTCTCCATTGTGACTGTGATTCAAATTCTTACCATTATTATTTGTATTATTATTCCTTTTGATATTAACAGACTTTGTGGCTCAACTGGTGAAGTGTTGTGTATGAATAATAAAAATAATAATTTTTTCAAGGTGACAGTATTATTACATTATTTGAATTTTAAATGCATGATTGTAGTGTCTGATACTTTTCGCTACTGTCGTTATTAGGGATCCGAATGACATGCACACAATCCGTCAAATGACTGGTGTATGTCCTCAGCATGACATCTTGTTTGATCTGCTGACACCTCGTGAACATCTAGAATTCTTTGCAGCTGTTCGGGTGAGTCAGAAACAGTTTACTCATAAACAGAAAAAGTAGTGTCAAAGACCAGGTTTGTTTTTGAACCTACATTTTTATTTTAAGCTTCATATGTGTGACTCCACTTATAGGAATTATCAGATTTAGTCTACTTCCTTCAATGCATGTGCATGAATCAGTCACAGTCTGTATCAAAAAGCTTAACTTTGTGAGCTTTTTTATGTTGGAAGTAGAAGTTGAATGAATCCATTTCTTGTAGAGTTAGAATGTCAAATAATAATCTTCAACAGATTTTAAATGGTTAAATAGATATGGTTGACTTCAATAATTGATTCAGAACCAACACACCTTTTGTTATGGCTTCAAGAATAAAACCAAAGGTTGTACAAGAAGTTATTCCTTTGTCCAAACACTGTGCCTTTAAGACACATGTAGGTAGTTGACATGAAGTTTTATGAATTTTTAATCTCAGCACTGGTGACCTGCTTTTTGCTCCACTAATTTTACTCCCATTCAAATAACTGCTGATATTTGTGATTGTTACAGGGGATACGTTCCTCCTTGATTGAGTCTGAAGTGTCCAAGACATTGCGTGATATTGACCTTGTTGACAAAGCCAATACCTTTGCCAAGCATTTAAGTGGTGGACAGAAGAGGAAACTTTCAGTTGGCATTGCTGTTATTGGGGATCCTAGGGTTTGTAGCAATGCTCTCTTAAGATAATTAATTTACATAATGAAAGCTTCATTATAAGAATCAGTGTAATATTATTATCTTATAATTGTTTTCTTTTACCAAGTAGTCCCTTATCTAAAATTTTGTCTGCTGTTTTCTTTAACAGAAAATACCTTTCATCATGGTTTCAGTAAGGTATTTACATTTTACGTATGTGATTTTATAGTCTGATTCTGTTTGTTGAGAATATTGATGTGCTTTCGCTGACATAACATACAGGTCAGAACCATTCTAACATCAAACAATGACTCAACAGGACTCACAGAAGTCAGATTTTCAACGAACTTAAAAATGAAATACAATGGAATATGTACTATTTGTCTAACTTTTATTGAATTCTCTTTTCATAATGATTGTTAGGTAATTTTCTGGTTTTAAAACTCAGAAGGTTCAAGTACATGGCATTCTAGCATTTAGAGGACAGGTAGTTTGATCCTTATCTGCTGTGCATCATGGCTTGTGCTCAGTCCAACACCATTACTGTATCATACTGTTGAACTATTAATGTCTGAATTTAAATCTCTCCAGCAGCCCTATAGTATGGGCTTAAATCTGTGATTCCCATAAAATAAATATGGTAAGTGACAGTGGAAAGTAAAAAGATAGAAAATATCCAAAACAAATGTCACTAGTTTTTTCTCTTTGCATAAACTATTGATTCATAAAACAGTTGTTTGTAGTAGTGAATAAATGTGATTACAGATTATTATCTTGGATGAGCCAACAGCTGGTGTTGATCCATACTCTCGGAGACACATGTGGTCTGTTTTACAAAATAGAAGGCATGGGAAGGTATAGTATAATTTAAAGAATAATAAAACAATAATTTTTTCAAATTTATTTTGCACAATCATGCAAAAAATTGCTACTAAAGTGTGAGTAACTTAAGGTTGATAAAAGAGGGTACTGCATTATGAAGAAATGTATTGCTGTGTAATTGGTTAAGGTAAGTAGATGAAGATGTATAATTATGAGGGGCATTTGAAAAGTAATGGGAATGCTGCAGTGGTACAGTGCTACATACTG